GTACTACAGGGATATTAGGGTACATACCAACGAAGTCAAATGTTTGGAAGACATGCGCATCAGTACATCCCTCCATTTGTGCTCGAATATCGATATCCTGTGCTACTTCTAGAAGACTTTCCCCGCTAGAGGTAATCCAACATTCCTTGGCAGCAATACCAACTTTTGCGCATTCTTCACGCCAGATCGTGTGTAAACAAGGCCGGATACCAACCAGGACTGCGTTGACTACCTTAGCCACCCCTTCTGTTATCGTACCACAACAAGCCGTAATTCCACGTGTCGCTACCAACGGATTATTATGTAGTTTAGCAGTGAGATAACGTGTGGGTAACTTCTCAGTGTTTTCATACTGAGTGTCACCATCCTCGTCTTTGTACTGCTGCTGTGGGATGGGCAACTTTTCATCTAGCAAAAACTTATGTTGTCGGTCAATGGTCGTCNGCAGTGAGGTATCGTGTGGGTAACTTCTCAGTGTTTTCATACTGAGTGTCACCATCCTCGTCTTTGTACTGCTGCTGTGGGATGGGCAACTTTTCATCTAGCAAAAACTTGTGTTGTCGGTCAATGGTCGTCTGTTTCACCAGCTCCAACTCTCCGTGTACTGTCCTATACCCCGGTCCTTCAAGTTCTGCTTTGGCTAACCTATTATAGCACGCCTTGCAAGTGATACAGATGCAGTTGGCCGCTCNCAGTCACTTTTTGTTCTATCGCGTCGCACAAAGTATCCTCCCAGTCCTCAATGTCATCGCGTGGCACTTTGAGTTCATGACATAAATCGCCAATGTACGATTCTATGGCGTCTATGAGCGATTCAAAAAAAGAGAGGTCATTCAAGGCTTCAGCATATTCTGCTCTAAAACCAGCTTGTCGGTTTAGCACAGCTGCAGCGTTGTCATCCTGAAGACATCCGGCATCTGTGGTAATCAAACATTTGGAACCATCCTTGGCAACAACCGTGTACTGACTCCATTGGGGGTCTTTGCAGATGCATCAATATTTACCATGATTTACATCTCTCGCTACGTTGGTGGTATTGAACATCATACTATCTAGGGTGTCACCATACCTAAAACAAG